GTTTTAAGCTAAATGACTATCCTCCAAATTGGGATAAGAATAGAACCAAATTCAAGAAAAATGGTTTTGGTGGTCCATCTAATTTCATGCCATCACAACCGATCCGTTGCACATGTTGCAGACCAAGGTGTCTACGATAGAACAATCACTGATTCATGGACTCTCTCTAGAAAATTACAAGCAATTGATGAATATGCTCACTAATGAGGCATCTCTTACTTTCTCTGTTGAAGATAACCCCCACCTCAACTATATTGCCTCAAAGACAAATGGCTCATGTTGAAGATAGGTTTGTTCGACTACCTGATGGATCTACATTGCTTGTAACCTATCACGGTTTGGTTCTACTAGCACCAAATATATTAATCGACAATGCCTTATGTGTTCCAAGTTTCCACTGCCATCTCTTGTCCATTAGTAAACTCATTTCACAACTGGATTGTTCTATGGTGTTTTCTTTTGGTTTCTATCTGCTATAAGACCATGCCTCCAAGAGGTCGATTGATCTGGGTAAACTTCAGCAAGGAGTATATTACCTTTAGTGCCTTTTCCTCAATAAAATTAGCATAGTAGCTACTACATCATGTTCAAATTATGCTATTTGGAATCGTCAAATGGGACATGTTGCTCCATCCCACATCATTGCCATATTTGGTTTTTCACCTTCTGAGAACAATATGTTCCGTGAAATGTGCCGTTGAGCCAAGCTAGCTCATTTATCATTTCCTTTGAGTACTTCGTGGGAACTTTATCCTTTGAACTACTATACATCGACATTTGGGGCAACTACAGAACAACCTTACATTCTAGAGCTCATTTTTCTTACCATTGTTGATGATCATAGTAGGTGTACATGGGTTTTCTTAATGCGACACAAGTCTAAGACCTACACCAACTTTGTCACATTTTACCAAATAGTTTCAACACAGTTCAAAGAGTTCTATTAAGCAAATTAGAACTGATAATAGATTTGAATTTCTATCTACACCAATGCTAGAATTCTACGTATGGTATAGTATACCAACAAATTTGTGTTGATATGCCTCAACAAAATGGTATTGCCAAGAGAAAACATCACCATCTTCTTGACGTGGTTAGATCACTGTGGTTCTAGGCCCATTTGCCGATTTGATTTTGGGGGGAATGCATACTTATAGCTATTTACCTTATCAACCACACCCCAATACCAACCTTGAATGAAAAATCTCCCATAGAAGTATTGTTTCACAAACCACCTATGTAGATCACATACAGGTTGCCTGTGCTTTGCACGGAACACAACACCCTCACGTGACAAGTTTGGTGCACGTACCCAAAAATGTGTCTTTGTGAACTACTCATATGCACAAAAGGGTTACTCTATATATGATTTGGATACCAACACCATCTTTACATCCAGGGATGTCATATTCTATGAAAACCATTTTTCATTCCAAGACACTCAATCCCCTGACACACATCCGATTATCCCATTAGCTCAACTTGATGATGGACCTTTACCAAACCCATCCATCCATTCTGAAGCACAAGTAGCTACATCACAAGTTGTTGATATTGAACCTGAGCTTCCAATTAATAGCCCTATCCCTCCATGACCTACAAGGACTCAGAAACCACCCCCATGTCTACTTGACTACCAATGTCATCCACCCCCTTCACTTCACCCTTCAGCCCACAATACAATTCAGCCCATAACAACCATATAACCATCAACCTTCATTGAGTCCACTTCCTTTGCTGAAGTCGTGAAATATGATCATAGGTGCAAATCTACGACTGAAGAAATTCAGGCCTTAGAACTTAACAACACATGTCACCCGACAAATGACCCATTGGATCCAAATAGGTATCTAAAACCAAATTTCATGCCAATGGGTCTATTGAAAGATATAAGACTCGTCCTATAGCCAAGGGGTATACCTAAGTAGAGGGTCTTGATTATCATGATACCTATGCTCCAATAGATAAGCTTGCAACAATCCAATGACTCGTGGTTGCCATAGTTAGGGATGGCCGTTACACCAACTTGACATGAATAATGCCTTCCTTATTAGAGATCTACTTGAAGAAGTATAATGAAGATTTCTCAAGGTTTTGACAAAACCAAACCAAACATGGTATGACAATTGCACAAATCCCTTTATGGTCTCAAGTAGGCTTCAAGGATGTGGTTTGAAAAATTTTCCATTGCTCTCAAACGATATGGCTTCACACAATCAACAGCTGATTACTCTTTATTTCTATCATCAACAATCTGATGCTTACACTACAATACTTATCTATGTTGGTGACCTTTTAATCACTGGTGACAACCCATCTCATATACAAAGTTTGAAAGAATACTTACATTCTTGTTTCTGCATCAAAGATCTTAGAGTTCTCACCTACTTCTTGGGGATTGAAGTCAGTCGCTTTGCATTTGACATTTTTTATGTCAACACAAATATCTTATGGATCTCATACAAGATACAAACTTGGTTGGCTGTTGACCCAATGCTACACCTATAGAGCAACAATGTCAGTTTCATGATTCCTCTATCCCTCTCCTGGAAGTAGAGGTGTAAATCAGGCTATGCCGCTAGCGGCCCGACACGAATTTGGATTGGCCTGGCACAATGGTCCGTGGGCTGTGCCAGGCCCGACACGACCATGCAGGCCGTGTTGGGCCTGGGGTTTTAGGTCCACAGGCTAACACGACATGGCACGATCGAGCGGGCTGGCATGGCCCAGTCCACAGCTAGGCCCAACATGGCTCATATATATATTTATATTTATATATATTATATATATATATATTATATATTTTATATATAGTTATATAATATTATATAAATTATAATTATATAATAATATATAGTATATAATATATTAATAATTTTTTTTAATTTTATTATACTAATTTATTTAATTATTGCATATATAAGCAATTTTATACACAAAATTCAAATAAAATTAAAATTTTAAGTTTTTTTATCAATTTTTTTAAATAAATAGCTCTGACCTAATGCACGACCCAACCTGGCCCAAGGCTCGACCCATGGGCCAGCCCGACCAACCCCCAAAATTTTCATCGGGGAGGGCGGCATGGTCCACACTTTGCACAAGCCACCCACAGGCCATGCCGTGCCAGCCCTACATGGCCCACTTTACACATTTACTTGGAAGATCCTACACAATACCGAAGACTTGTGGTTCGTCTTCTATACCTCACTATTAAAAGGCCTGAACTTAGCTACTCCGTTCACATCCTCAATCAACACTTACAGAAGCCCACTTAAGAACATATGGATGTTACTTTCTGGGTGTTACCTTATCTTAAAGCAACACCATCCCATGGCATTTTCCTCTCCTCTACAGTTGAGTTTATTGTTAAAGCCTTTTGTGACTTAGATTGGGCCACGTATCCTTTAACCAGAAGGTTTACAACAGGTTATGTTACAATGTTAGGAGATTCCCCACTCTCTTGGACATGGTTTTTAAAACTGGACCGGACCAGACGATCGGATCGAAAAAACCGGAAACCGATCACTTGACTGGTTTCATTTCCCCAAAAACCGGATTTTCCCCCAAAACCGTTGATTTTGGTTAGCGAACCGCTGAACCGGGCAATTAATTGTTTGAACCGTTCGAACAGTTTTGACCATTTTTATTTTTTTTGAATTTTTTTTATTTTTCTATCAGAATGGGCCGAGTATTCGATTCAAACGATCGTACCATTCAACTCGGTAACCGGACCCCTAACCGGTTCGGTCACCATGTCAGTTTTAAAAACCATGCTCTTGGAAGACCAAGATGCAAATTACAATTTCCAGGTTTTTTGCCAAAGCAGAATATCGTGCCATAGTAATTGCATCTGCAAAGCTAATATGGTTGAAACATGTACTTTCAGATCTCACCATCTCAATGAGTGGCCTTATACATAGCTAAAGCTAATAACCCAGATAGACTGTCATTTCATTCATGAGTATATCGCCAAGAAAGAGATTGCTACTCATCTAGGCAAAGAACAACCTGCTGGTTTTCTCACAAAGGCTTTGGATTCTCCTCTTTAACTCATAAGTTGGGCATTTGCATAATTGCATCCTCCCTAGTTCTCCCTAATCCAACTTGAGGGGGAGGGAGGGGGGATAACAGAATTAGTTAGACAGTTTGTTACAATCTACGTGGTACAATTCACCACGTCAACTCACATATGTAATCCTCTAATATAATTATATATTGCATTAAACCTATCAATGAAATATTCATTCTTATGCCACGTGTCAAGAAATCTAGATTCAAGATATAAACAACAATGGTTTTTAGCTGGAGACAAAAACATACACCCGGCTGAACTATTGGCCCACAGTGAGCACTGGCGTGTTCAACTGTGATAGGTAGTTCAGCCGGGTGTGTATGATTTCGTCTCTAGCTCATCCGGCTGGTTTTCATCAATTACGATCAAAAGTTCATCTGGAATTAGATCATACTGATTATTTTTCTTTTCTTTTTTTTTTTAAGCCAAAATTAGATCATGTAGATAGTTTGTAGATTTCTTGGCTCTCTTCGTTGGTGAGCCTCCAGTTTAAGACGAAGTTTGATCCACGTCAACGTAGGACAAGGAATTAGACAAAAATGTGGGTTTGAAACATTGAAGCGATAAGTTCTAATGAATAAAACAAAATATAAATGCATAAATAATCACTAGACTTCCTCTTATTACATGCATTAAAACGTACTTTAGTGGTTTAAAAGCTTCTTATACTTTTCTTCTATAATTATTTAAGTCTTAATCAATTAAAACACCCAATAAGAAGAGATGAAGTTCGACATTCTAACTTCAAGTGTGTCACTATGTGGATTAAATAAAGGTACTCACTTCCAACTCCACGTCTTAAACGTGACCAGCTTAATTAACTAGTCATAGATGAATTATGACCAAGCAGCTGTCACAAACCCAAATTAAAAGGGTTGCTGCCTCTCTAATTTAACATAATTAACAACTTGTAATAATTGGAATCTATTAGGAGAATCTTCATCATCTAATTAACCCAGCTTTCTTTCTGATGGCAAAGGTGCATCCGCAGCTGGCTTCTTCTTCTTCTCCTCCTCCTCCTCCTTCACCCTACGCGTCAAGAAGAGAAACTTTTACCATCTGGATGAAATCACTGGTACTACACGGTAATGGCTGCACTGCCTTTGATGCAAAAGGAGATGTTGTTTATCGGATTGATAACTACAATAAGAAGGGTGGCAACCAAGTTTATCTCATGGATCTCAGAGGCGAAGTCCTCTTCGTTATACATCGGAAGGTACAATAAAATTGTGATTTTCTCTACATTTTTTTTTTTAATTTTCTTTCTTTGTAGTTTATGGTGATCTAGTGATCATCAGAAAGGATTGAACTGATTTTGCTTTTTTTTTTTTTTTTTTTTCTTTTGCAGAAACCGGGAGTGCTTGGATGTTGGGAGGGTTACAGAAGCAATGGCTCCGAAGAGAGTATGGAGAAGCCATGCTTTAAAGTCAGAAAAGTTTGCAGGATTCTGAATGCAAAGGCAACCTATAGAGTTACCGTGGGATGTGATAGAGCTCAACCAGATTACTACAAGATAGAAGGAGGATTGAGGACTGACAAATCAGCTTACAAGATAGTAGATGAGTTAGGGGGAGTTGTAGCCGAGGTTAGTTCCTCTTGATTTGTGAAATCTCTTATTCAACTTTCTGTTTCTTTTATTTTTATCAAATTAGTTAATTACAAAAGACAGCATTAATTAAGTCTAATGTTTTTGTGATTTTGGTGGAGCAGGTAAAGCGAAAGCAATCATCTTCAGGAGTTGTGTTGGGAGGTGATGTATTCACTTTGATGGTAGAACCTCACGTAGATCACTCCCTTATCATGGGTATTGTGGTTGTGTATGGTTTAATCAATCATAAACTGTGACTAGATCTCCATTTCTTCTTAAATGATGATTATGAAATCTACTTTAATCTTCATTTATTTATTTGATTAATTGTTGTCTTAATTACTGCAAAGACTTCTATATATATTTACCCAAATACCACACAATTCAAGCATAAATATACAACACAAAATAAATATAAGTACAAATTTAGACCAATACACATCTCCTGCCAGCTCCTGATAGTAACGATATATCATCCTTCAAATTGTTCACTCTTGAAGCTTCCGTCCATTTGCACCTACACAAGGAATGAAGATGAAAAGAATCAATGGATCACGTTGTCTTCAAGCCTCTAGAAGTACTTAATTAAACTTATTGACAAACTGCCATGAGATCACACTGAGACTATATATATCGATAGATAGATAGATATACCAGCAGGAGCACTGTGAGAACCCTGTAACGCTCCATGTTGTCCTTCCTTCCCGAACCAAGAATAAACCGCTCCTTTGATCTTACTGACCATGCCCTTTCGATACTTCTCATCTGCAGAGCTGACTCTCTCCGTGGAATTCTTTTCCTCGGAGCTCAAACGGATTTGTGTACCCGTCGACTCTGTCACCTCCCTCTGAGGTGGTGATCCCTTTTCTGGCTCCTCCTTGCGATTATTCAAAGCTTCGGAAATTACCTCGGAAAGTGCTTTATCTTCATCACCAGGCCTCAGCTTTTCCGCCAAGTATTCCTTCACAGAAACTCCTTTATCAGGCACAATAACGTTCCCGCCTTCTGAACCGGTCCCCGACGCTGCCGCAGTCGCGGTTCCGTTCCCTCTCCCGTTCGAGTTCATTTGCATCTTGGATACCACCGCGCTTCCTGCCCCCGAAACTTTCTCGTACACTGGGGCTAGCGTTCCCGTCACCCCTTCAGCAAATTTTCGGCCATATTCACCGGCAGGCGCCGACTTAGTTGAGTCCCCACCTTCTGGCGTTCCCGGCACCGCGGCATCGTTTCCACCATAGCCAAGTTTTGACGCGACTGCATTTTTTGCAGACACTGCTTTCTCGGCGATTGCGGAGGTAGCAGAAGAAATTTTCTCAGTATAGCTGCTGGGCTGTGTTGTTGGATTTCCGGCTTCCCCGGCTTGTGAATGAACTACTGCTTCGGTAACAGGGACGGTCTGAGCATTTCCTGGGGATGTATTGGTCTGGTCGGGAGGCAAATCCGGAGAGAACTGATCATGACTTCCGGTGTTGGACCAGGCTTCCGGTTCTGGCTGCTCGGAGACCTTCATTTTCCCGAAGGACTCGAGAATGGGCTCGACTCTTACTTCTTCGCCCCCTGATCAAACATATTAGCACAAAGTTAATGATCAATAATTTAGGTTGCGTTTGGATGAGGAGCTTAAAATTGTTTGGCTATGCTTTTATAAGCAAATCTTAGTATCTTACCAAGCGCTCAAACCACTTTTTTTTTTCTTTTTTGCTCAATTTTGTTTTCCACAACCCGAAGCTCAAAAGCAAAAACCTTATCCTAACGAATACGGAGTAGGTAATTCTGAATTATACTGTAGTTGATGGTTAATTATGGACGATTGATGGTATGATCAATAGACTAATCATCTCTGTTGTATGGTTTATAGAGACACATGTATAAATGCATGCTATTACTCTAAGTGATTATTGTTTTTCGTACTTAGAACAATAAATTAATTAATTAAGAAATTAGTACAGTCGTGTTAATTAAGAAATTATCGGCTACAATCCCAAGTAACAACCAAACATGGCATTAATCCTTATGACCTTACCTGCGCCTGTGGGATCAGTTGCTTTAGTCTGATAATTTGCGGGGTCAGAGGTATCACCTCTGCCCTTTGGAGCATCAGGGTCCTTCAACAATGGCGGCAACCGTCCTATAGGACCCAAATTGACCCTAATCGATTGCCCTGAGGCATCCTCTTCCTCGATCCGATCCGCTATGGATTCGTATACTGAAAATTTCACAGCAAAATCATCAACAAACAACTTTCATTCATTAATCCCCCCTATTCAATTCCTAAAATAATTGTTACCAGCAACTAAAGGCAGGCAATCTCGCTTATAATCTACCAACGCCAACAAATCTTTAATACTGAGATAAGAACCTACTCGGTGGTTCCTTATGAACTTCAGTGTCTTGTTCATCTTCTTCCACTTCGTCGTCGTCGTCGTCGTCATCATCGTGATCATGATCATAATCGTGGCCGTTGCCATGCTTTTTAATACCGAGTGTATCCTTTATCTTCTTCGCCTTAGCTTTTACCTTCTTTAACACAGATTTCTTCTCATGGTGTTCATCCTCACCTTCAATAACTTCACCCCAAAAAATAAAAAATAAAATGCTTGTAGCAAAATGGAAATAAAAATGATCTTAACAGATAAGATAATCTCTGAAAATTAATGCTTCCTCACCGGAGCGGAGACCGGCAGTATGAGGGTCATGTGGGCCTTCCTCGTAAGTATGGCTTTGAGCAGTTGCCACTCGATCAGTATCCATTTTTTTGGAGCAAAAACGCTCTTACTCTTACTAGTCAGTAGTCACCACACGGAGAGACCTTACTTCGTCGGTCAGTACGAGTAGGACTAAACTGAAAGAATAGTAGATCCACTGAACTGTAAGGTCTACAATGAACGAAATTGGCTGTTATATAAGAGGGGGCGCCACAGGCAGAGGTGATCGTATCATGTTTTCGCCACCTTAGCAATGGGTTGGTCATTTTATTCAAATACATGCAACACGTGTTTGGTAACTCTCAACGTGTCCTCGAGAGACACGTTCCAGCTTTACACGTGGCTCCGAAGTGGTGCATGAATTAAATAAGCAGTGCAATAAGAAGATGAGGACGAGGACTGAGGGGAACGGGATCTGCTACCCACACATGGGCGGCTCACAGGCACATCCACCGTGCAATGGGAACATCTGGCTTCATAAGGAAATTGTTTAAAACTCATTATTAGTTTTCAGCGTTTTTCTTAAATTCACCACAACTTTCAAAACGTTTAAAATTCACCATGTTAATAAGTTTTTATTTCCAAAATTCACCTTCCGATTGTACCATTAATGTTTCTTAACAGAAGTGTCTATGTCAGCATAAATAACAATTTTTATGATCAAATCACCCTTAAATGGCGCATTAGAGGAAAATGGTCTTTTTCATTTTTTTTTTTACATTTTAGTGTTTTGTTATAATTTCTAATGTTTTTTATAATTTCTGTTTTTTTTGCATTTTTCTTTTTTTTACATTTTTCTATTTTCTACAATCTATAAAATTTCCTGTATTTTTTGTTATTTATTTGTAATTTCTGTGTTTTTTATAAGTTTTGGTGTTTTTCTACAATCTTTATTTTCTGATGTTGTTTTTTAACTTCTATAGTTTCTATAATTTGAAAATATTTTTTTTTATTTTGTATGCAATTTCTATAATTTTTTATATTTTTTACAATTTCTGTGTTTTTATGTATTTCAAATGTTTTTTGAACTTTTTCCTTTTTTTTTCATATCTAAGTATTAGAATATATGTATATATTTTATATTTTTATATAAAGGTTAAAATGGTAATATATTAATAGCCATTAGTCTCTTTAACGTCAAGTTAGTGACATAGTGAGTTTTAGATATTTTGAAAAGTTGTAGTGAGTTTAAGAGAAATGTTGAAAACTCATGATGAGTTTTTGACAATTTCCCTAAATTATAGGTACGAGAGATGTTTCCAATGCATGGTAGAATGTGCATGTACGGTCGGTGTGAGGCACCCTATGTGAGGAGCAGATTCGGTTTTGGATTGAGGACTGAGGCGTAGAGGACCATGAATGGTTAAGAGCCTGAATCTCCTGCCCACGAGAACCTTGCCCACGTTTATCGCAACTACACATAGAGAACATCTCATCCTCTGCATAGTATTATGCTGGGGGAGATGTTCCCAATTCACAAGGGGTGATGTGTTGTGGGTAAGTGTGGGCAGGAGATCCGGAGTCTGACTGAGTCTGGATCTACTGCCCGCACAAACTCTACACATTTATCGCGGCCACACATGGAGAACATCTCATCCTTTGCATTATGCAGGGGGAGATGTTCCAAATTCACAGGGGTAGTGTGTTGTGGGTAAAGGTGGGCAGGAAATCCTGAGTCTGACTAGTTGTTCTTTAGGCCTCATCGCTGATGTGGCCATCACCGTTGGATTTTCGGTGGGGCCGTGAATTTAGGTTATGCATCAGGCCTCATCGTTATCTAACACCATCACAGCGCTTTTAGCCGTGGATTAAGAATATCTCCCGTACTTGGAAGATATTTCCAATGCACGGCTGCGATGTGCTATCAGTTGGCATGAGGCGCCCTGTCACAGTGTCACCCTGTGTGAGGAACAACCGAGCAAATCCGATTTCTTGAAAATCGACAGGGTCCATCTTCACTAATTTGGTGCTTACGTGGAGGAGGGACAATAACGGCAACGTCACACTATCGTACGCATAGTGCGCGTAATTTAGTGGAGATCCTCACCTCTATTTAAACTGATCAGGCGGCAATTCATTCGCAAAACGGCCTGAACTTCTCCATCTACTCTGCTGCTTCTCGCGACAAAGAAATTGAAGAACACTACACCTCTGCTTCATCGAAAAGCCACCGTTAATAGCATGCGTACTCGTTTTCTCAATATCGACTACTTCAAAGCTTCGAATGGAGCCCTAGATGAACTAAACTTTCTCCGTCTTCCAGTCCCTCATTTCCCTCCCTCGAACATCTGCTTCGGAGGAGAACTTTGTTGCTTTGATTCCGTTTTAAGCGTCTCTTTGGACGTCGAGGGATTTTCAATTGATGATGCTCTCTCTCGCTTCTTCTCTGACGTTCTTCCTCACAGCATTGTCGTTGAAATTGCAGATTTTCCTGATTTTTGCGCACAGAATCGAAATGATTGCACTGTCGGAAGGAAAAGAATTGCAGAAAGGACATTTTCAATTTCTCAACTCGCCGACTTTCGATCCACAGAGGTGAGATGGAAGTTTCACTAAATTGATAAATAGTTCCTCTGCACCATTTTTTTTACTATGAAAAAAGGCGTTATCCACTTATCTGATTCCCCCCTCCCCCTTTGCTTGAAGTCTCTACATAGAGTCCTTTGCCGTTTCTGTACATTGTTAAATTTTAAAAAGGAGGAAAAAATTGGAGAACTTTAGATCTCAACTCTTCATTTCTGTACAGAGAGCCGCTAAGAACTTCTGTTCATTTTGTTTTTGTTTTCCCCGGTTAGAATGCTTTTCCTAAACTCTTCATTTACTATTTATATTTGAAACTCCTTGCAGGAGAGAAGATTCTCTTTGTATGACGGAATTATTTCAAATAAGGCAAGGAATTTCGGATCTGAACTTCTGGATATTGAAGTAATAGAGGTAAATGATTTACTTGAAAGGGAGAATGAACTTCGAGTTTAGTTGTTTCTTGTTTGAATTTGTTGATCGGAATATCTTTTAGCGAATATAAGTCCTATTATCAGCTGGAAATAGATGATCTCTTGTTATTTGAATTTTGGTAAGGATTTCACTTTTACAGTCTTTGGTTCATGTTTGTTGCAAAGGAAAATGAGCCTACTGGTGAAGACAAGTACAGAAGCGGGTTTAGAGTTATGCAATTTGAATCACATGAGCTGGATTTCTTCTTGGTTAGTTGGCAATATGTTGAAGGGATTATTACGTTTATGTTTCATCGCTGTTTTTTCATTTTTTTTCCTTTTTTCCCCTTCCACAGGATGAGCATCTGTTCTTTGATGGAAAAGAAGATGGACAAATCTTCTCTGAAATCCTAGAGCATAATAGTACTACAGTAAGTATTTATTTACCTTATTCCTCATCTAACGCATAGAACAATAATTATATTAATCTTTCTTTCTCTCTCTAAGACGATAGTTAGTCTTTCTCTGCGGCCCTTAATATGAATGTTCAGATTCAGATTTTGTGATCAGTTCCTTTGTGGTACCAGAGAAAACTTGGAATTCCCATTCCACTGTTGCTAAAAATAGATGACGAAATGTCAGAACCATGTATGCTCGTAGGAGAGCCCAAATCCTGGAAATGCCCCAGTAAGAAGACAACGTGCTGTCAACTTAGAAGTTTATTGTTATGGTCCTGGATCAATAGTTGACTCCCGTACCCTTCCTTTTCTATTTCATCTCTCTTCTATCCATATAGGAGAGCAGATAGTTATTATCATATGTTCTAGTAGATCATCAGAAGTTGAAACAATTACCAAGCGGTATTAACTGAATCCGTTAGCATGACTATTTCAGATTTCTAGGGACAACGCTGATATTTTCAAAGAAACTAAAGACACCCAAATATTCATTCTGTTCTCTTTTGATAGATAACAAAGGATTTTTTTTTTCTTTTCTAATAAATAATGAACATTTGAAAAGATATATTATTTCTTTGTGTAATTGGGAAGAAGTCTTCTGTATTAGCCTTTCATCCATGTCTTGTACCTCTTATTACTAAATTTTGTTTGTTTGTTTATTTACTTGTTTGGTTTTAAGTTGATTGCTTATTTATTTCTGTAGCTACTTTGGGAGTTATTCACAGTTATTAGCTTATTGCATATCTAAGGGGACACCTGTCACACGCTAAATAGAATTCCAGGATAAGTGCAGCAGATCCTGACTTGGTCCTTGTTGCAGCATATGCTGGATTTCGTGCTGGGAATCACAATTCAATACCCTCATGAAGCTACAAAATCAGTTTATTCAGTTGAAGAGATAGCTTCAGACTATCATATGGAGGAAAGGGAATCTTATCTTATGGAAGATGCAGGTTCTGCACAGGATGCGATTTGTTACTATGGAAACAAATTACCTCTTTTAGAAGCAAATGAAATTAGCACGAGATGCTACACAGGCCCATCCATGGATGAAGAGCTTCATTTTCTATTTGAAAATATTGGATATCAAAATTTGACTGAGGAAGATGTCCTAGTGATTGACAACAAGGAATTATTGAGATCTATGGATACTGATGTTTTAGAGTGCTTACCAGAACAATGTTCAATAAAGCAATGCCCTCAACCTGAACTGACACATCTTGATTTGGCCCTAGAAATGGAATTTATAAATGTAAAGGAAGAGAATGATCTTAAAGAGGTATCAGCGGTTAGCCTGGAAATGTCAGGTGGTGGTTCTTTTCCGGTAACCAACCTACCTTATTTTCAGGAGTTTCAGATCCTTGATTTAGACTACAAATCTTTTGAAGCCTTTTCTGGCTCACAAACAATCAAAGAACCAGAGGCATGTGCCAAGATGTTCAAAGAAGATACAGACTCTATTTGTAATTTTTATGAGTCAATTGTTAGTCATGAGCTAACACTGGCTGATGACTCATTCAAACCCTTACCTATTCCTGTTGTCTCTGATGGCATAGATGTACAGTTAATGTCTACAATTATTGAGGAAATATTGGTCGACTCCAAACCACATCTTCCATCTGCATCTGATGGGATATATTTAGATTGGCACTTCTTGGAGGAAGATGGATGTAGACATGATATTTTTACTACTCAGTGGAACATACTAGAGGGGATAGATACATATAGCACTGATTATGAGTCTTTTAATACTGAACTGGTGGTAACTGATTTTGTTTACTTTGAGGATATTCCTGATGGGTCAAACGTGTTAGAAAGAAAGGAAATATTGAATGAGATTACCAGTGTTGATAATAAGCAAGTTTCTTCAAGTTTGTCAAAATATGAATGTGAAACCGGAAAAGAGAATCTCCAACCCAGTGGAATTGTTGAGAAGGTTGTGCCATTATCTGAAATGATGTCAAATTTCAATGATCTGGAGTTTTTCTTGAATCCTCACAGAGCTGCTATACAGAGAAATAGTGAACCTGCTGTTAAGGATACACCTGACAACAAAGCTGAATTCTCTGTTGTTTCACCCAGCAACTCAATATCAGCATGCGCTTCCACTGAAGCAAAATTGCAAAAGTGGGATATTGAGGTTCACCAAGTTAAACTATCTGACAATATTCTGGATCTCATTGTCCACTTCCAAAAAATCTACTTGGAGGTATTGGAAAGTAGTACAGATTTGAAAAAGAACTCATCTTCAGTTGTTAATGATATTAACTTGCTAAGCATTAAAAAGCAAAAGCTGATGGATTGGATTAAATACAGAAGTGCAGGGAGAACAACATTGGCTTGCAGTGATGAAACCCTCGTAGCATTTGCCACATTATATGCAATTAAACAGATGGCTTCTTACTTGTGCTTTTATGGAATCCATGTGACTTCTTTGTATGTAAACAAGTTATGTAGAAGCTTCAATCACTTGAAACTCAGATTAAGCTTCCTCCAATCCTCGATTGAGAATGAGCTCCAGAAGGCTGATATTAAAATAACTGAATCACACCCATCCCTATCTGTTATCCAGGAGATTTTGTTGGCAAAAACATCTGAAAATGGTAAAGTATTGATTGTGGCTGACCAAGTTTTCTGGTGTCCATTGAAGAGATTGTTGAATTCCATGGGAGTATTATTCCATGAAGTACAAAATATTCAAAAACATGCAGATCAGCCAGATGCTTGGGATGGTGATGAGGGCAGAGAACTTGCAATGCAAGCCTTGCAACATTCTGATTGCTTATTAATATCTCAAGAGTAAGTCTCCATCTCTACTTATTGAAATCTTCACAATTTCTATGGGCATGAATCCCAGGAAATTCTGCTAAATGCAAGTTATAATTCATTTTTCTTTTTAATATTTCATATGTATAGCTAGTTGAATTTTCACTTTTTTCATTATTCCTCTTGTTGAATTATAAAGTTAATCAAAATCTGCATAGAATAGGAAAAAATGTTACAATTTAAATGTATTTATTAGACATTGCAACTTTCCCCATGGCATGCCTAAATCCTGAGACAATAGGTCAGTTAGATGTACTACACCACAATTATGAGGTTATTTAATCCCATTCTATCCACAAAATGAAATCTAGTCTATTATAGTTGTAAGAACACTGAATGTGTTTGGCATGCATGATATTCATTTTAGCTTTTATAGCTCATTTTTCTAGTCTTTCAAAGATTGTAGTAATAAGTTCTTAATTTTCATATTTTAACTTCTAGCTTTTTCTTCTTTCCATAATAAGAGTCTTTACATACTTGTGGACTTGTCCTGCAAGATATGCAGGTTGTATTTTTGGATTCTTGAAACAATCTTTCCAAATTTGATATGATGTCCTGGTTTATGCCTTTTATAAATAGATAATTATTATTTTTAGTTTATTAGATAAGCGACTGCTGTTCTGTGGGATCACACCTAATCACATCATAAGGGATTTCTTGGTGGTAGACCACTCGAAACTTGAAAGGGTTTACAGCTTGTTTTGCAGTAGTCCCATTTCAGGTTGAAAGGCTGCTACATCAGCACCACATAGGCGATTCAACTTTAACGTTCAAAAAACGTATTTGGTATAGCAGATTCAACTTGGACTCTGGATTTTGCATCAGCTTTTGCACATAGGGGGGGGGTCTGGAAGAAACATCAAAATGATGTTTATTGAATTTGGAGGGTATTCCTGCTTCATTTGTCTTGTGGTGGCCTACATGTTTGAATTACCAAATATTGTAGTCTGATTTTTGTGCCAAAATGTTTCTTTGTTACCTGTGTAGCTTGAAACACCATGATGCAAGTTGAAACATTCACCTTGAAACACGACTGTATCAAATACCATCTTAATTTGATTGTGATGGGTCTTCAGCCCATATTGCAATCCACACCCACCCTAGATACGACTCAGGTTAGCATTCAGCCCAGACCAGCATCAGAAGCCCAAACACCAGCTGGCCATGCACGTGAAGTTGGTTGCCCTCCTATTCGCTACATATACACAAGGAAGCCATGCTAGTCGTAAATATCTGCCATGCATGTCACTTGTGGATCCTTGTATAAGCTATAAATAACACACAATAAGAGACCACGGCAGACCCTGATTATTCTCACTCATTCGCTTTTTCCTATCCCCTTGTCTTCAGGAGGATAGGTTACCCTTGAAGAGACCTCTGTAGTGGGCAGTATCCCATTAGAGTGGTATCAGAGCCCTGATCAACGAGCTGGTTGGAGAATGAGGATGCCAAACATGAGAGCTTCAGCAGTGGAGGACCGCACAGACTGGCTAGAAGGGAGCTCCACAAGGTGCTAGGAGAACTCCGAGAACTGAAGGAGTTTGTCTCGGCGGTAGCTGGTCAGTGCCAGAGGAACGCTAGTTCATCTCAGAAAGAAGGCGACAGTGAAGGGTCGAGTCAATAGGACCAGTCTCACACTAGAACCAACTTGGTATGATCAGCCAAACTGGTATTTCTGACGTTTTCAGGTGAGGACCCCCTTTCTTGGATATTTAGAGCTGAACAGTTTTTCGAACTTAATGACATATCTGAACACCAATGAGCATCGATGACCTCAATCCATTTGGAAGAGGAAGCCATCCAATGGCTACATTGGTATCAGCATTCCAACCCCCCAGATGGGATGGTTAGAACTTACAGAAGTTTTATGCATTCAGTTTGGTCCTTCTAGGTTTTAAGACTTTGGTGAAGCCTTGGTGAAGTTAAAACAAGTGGAGTCTGTGAGAGGCCAAAATGAATTTGGAAAGCTAGCCTCTCAGGTTTATGGGTGGCCTTAGAAAGCTTTAGTCTACAGCTTTGTAAGGGGACTGTGAGAGGGTATCCAAGTGGAGGCAAGGCTCTTCAGCCAATGACAATGGTAGTTGTGGCCGACTTGGCCCGTTTACATGAAGAACTTCTGAATAGACTCAGACAGATACCAAGGCCCAACCACATCGACCCAATCATTAAAACTCCACCTCCTAACATTGAATTGCCCTCGGTAAAACCAATTGGACCATTGGGCCTACCTCTCAGGAAATTATCTTGGGTGGAAATACAGTCCAAAGGGAATGGGGCCTCTGCTATAACTACGATGATAAGTTTGGTCTGGGTAAGAAGCCCCCGTTGTTCTTACTACAACTTGATGAGGGGGATGATAAGGATCCTATGGTTACAATTGATGAGGAGGATCCGATTGAGCCAAGGAAGGAAGAAGCCCCAAAGGTTTCTTTCCATGCCCTCACAGGTACCTTCTCCCCTCAAACCACGAGGCTTAGGGGAATTATTAAAGGCCAACCCATAGCTATTCTTGTTGATAGCAATAGCTCTTTGAATTTTGTCTCTAAAGTATTAGCTAAAAGGTTGAGCATGGTGGTTGAGCCCATTGAGCCATTTTCAGTACATGTGGCCAATGGATACAAATTGGTCTCTGACGGGGGGTCTGTAAAGCAGTGGAAATTTAGACCCAAGGTTATTTGTTAAAGGCTGACTTAGACCCGTTGGAGATAAGGGGGTTGGATGTAATCCCGGGGGTGTAATGGCTAAGATAGCTGGGCCCAATCACAAGCAACTAACCAACCTAACTATGGTGTTTTAGATGAATGGTCAACCCTGCACCTTAGAGGGCCTTGAGCTTAGGCCTCAAATACAAGAAGATCCGGGAATGGGCCTCAAATAGTGCCAACACCTGTCTCCACCAGTTGTCTTATTCATGGGCCTAGATCTAGTTGGCCCAACCCTCACGACATAAATGTGTACAAATGGGTTAAAATCGAATTAGATGGGCCTTTAACAAATTCTCAACTCCTAACATGATGTCTTCCAAGAACCTAAAGAATTACCCCCCCACTAGAGCTCAAGACCACAAAATAACTAGCATACCTAGAGCGGGACCCACCAATGTGAAACCATACTGATATCCACACTTCCAAAAAGAAGAGATAGAGAAGATAGTAGTGGACCTCTAAGAAAAGGGGATGATACAACCCAACTCCAATCCTTAACTCCTCCCCAGTTTTTCTTGTTAAGAAAAAGATGGGACGTGGAGGTTTTACGTGGATTACCAGGCTCTTAACTGCATCACGATAAAGGACCGGTTTCCCATACCTGTCATAGATGAGTTACTAGACAAGTTGGAGCTGCTAAGGTGTTTTCTAAATTGGATCTCAGAGCCGGATATCGCCAAATTTAGGTGCACCCAGGAGATGTCCATAAAATAGCATTTCAGACACATGACGGGCACCATTTTTGGTTATGCCTTTCAGCCTAAACAACGCCCCATGCACTTTTCAAGCCTTGATGAATGATATATTCTGTCCTTATTTGAGGCATTTCATCTTAGTATTTTTTTGATGATATACTTGTGTACAATGACAGTTGGGAGTCCCACTTGCAGTACCTTATCATCACCCTAGACACCTTGCGAAAGAACAATCTCTATGCTAAGACTTTAAAGTGCTTATTTGGACAGACTGAAGTACATTATTTGGGACATATAGTCTCGCAGAGACAAGTGAGAGAAAACCTAGATAAGATCTTAGCTGTAATCAACTGGCCTACCCCTTACACAATCAAAGATCTCTAGGGGTTCCTTGGTCTTACAGGCTACTACAAGCATTTCATAAAGAATTATGGGCTTCTGGCAGGCTCACTGACTTGGCTACTCAAGAAAAATGCCTTTAATTGGGATGAGGAGGCCCAAAAGGCTTTTGAAACTCTCAAGGCAGATCTATTAGCTCCTCCCATTCTTAGCCTACCAGATTTCTCCCAAGAATTTTTTGCCGAATGCAATGCCTCTAAGTCTGGGATTGGTGCGGTTCTGATGATAAAGAATTGATGGTTGTGGCCTTATCAGTGTTGAAATGGTGACCCTACCTCTTGGGACACCCCTTTATCATAAGAATTGACCATCAGAGTCTTAAACACCTACTAGAGCAACCAGTACACAACCCAGAGCAACAATTATGCCTTTTCAAATTGTTGGGTTATGATTACCGAGTAGAGTACAAGCCAGGCCCAGTCAATCAGGCTACAAATGCCTTGTCTTGAGTCCATGAGTTATTAGTAATGGTTGATTCTAGGCCTACATACCCATTGTTAGAAGGGCTCCAGGAGGAGGCCAAAAATGGCGAGGCAGTTAAGGAGATTACCAAGAAGCTTTAGACAAACCCTACAACCACACCTAGGTACAACCTAATAGGTCTCGACCTCTTCCACAATGGTCGATTGATCATTTCAGCCCACTCTCAGTTCATTCTCAAGGTGCTTAGGTTGTTCCATGACTCATCCTTAAGGGGACATTCTAAGGTTCTAAGGACCTATAAAGGGGTGCACTATCATTTCTTCTTGCTAGGTATGAAGAAAAGCATACAACAGTTCGTGGCCCATTATGTTGTCTGCCAGTAGTGTACATATGATAATTAGACTCCCGTTGGTTTTCTTATGCTACTTCTTATCCCGAGTCAGGTCTGGGATGACATCATTATGGACTTTATCATGGGGTTGTCCCTCTCTACCGACAAGTCAGTGATCATGGTGATTGTAGATAGATTGACCAAGTATAGTCACTTCATGGGCCTTACACACCCCTACACAGGAGCCCAATTGGCCTGAGCATTCATCCAAGAAGTTACTCGATTGATCGTCACTGACTGAGATCCAACATTCATGAGTAGGTTTTGGATCAAATACTTCAAGGCCCAAGGGGCCAAGCTGTGCCACTCCACTAGTTACCATCCACAAACGGATGGGCAGTCAGAAGACGTGATCAAATGCCTGGAAACTTACTTAAGGTGTTTTACCGAAGAAAGACCCAAAAATTGGTTGCAGTGGTTGCCATGGGATGAGTTGTGGTATAATACCACGTACCATGCCTCAACAAGTATCACTCCTTTTAAGGTGCTCTATGGGAGAGAGCCCCCTTCTATCTTGCCATATGAGCAAGGATCATCAGTGGTAGCTAAGGTGGAAGACTCCCTAATGAAGAGAGATGAAATCCTAAGATCCTTGAAAGAGCATCTAGCGTGGGCCTAGTAGTAGATGAAGGCCCAATATGATAAGAAACACATGCCCGCCCACTTTGAGGTTGGTGATTATGTCTATTTAAAACATTGACCTTACCGTCAGGTGTCCTTAGTCCACAAGCATTGGCCCAAATTCACACCATCGTACTTTGGCCCATTTCACATCACAAGCTAGGTGGGCGAAGTCACCTATAGGCTGGACTTGCCCGCTTGTTCCCGCTTGCACTTAGTATTCCATGTTTCACTACTGAAGGAAAGCCTCGGGCCTAACACATCAATTAGCCCCAGCATTCCTGAGTTCGATGATGAAGGGAAACTACATCCTGAGCCTGTTGAGATCATTGATTTCCAATAGGTCAAGGTAGGGAAGAAATATAGCAAGGAAGCCCTGGTAATTTGGAAGTATCTACCTTGTGAAGATGCCACTTGGGAGGAGTATCTGGAAAAATAATTCTCTCATCTTAACCTTGAGGACAAGTTTAAATTGAAGGGGGGGGAATTGATGGGCCTTCAGCCCATACTTCAGTCCATACCCCAGATATGGCTCAGATTAGAATTCAGCCCATACCAGTGTCAGAAGCCCAAACACCAACGGGCCATGCACGTGAAGTAGATTCCTTATGTTTTGAGTGGTTTTCACTTGCGGTGTAAATGCTGTAATCCATGTTGTGCAGGTGGTCATATTATTAGCATGTATCCGAAGGCTTTTTTTTTCCTTTGTATGTTAGAGGATATGCAACACCTGCTTTATAGTTAAATCCCCTCTTAACTCGATGGATTCTATTTTTCATTTTTACAATTACTGGTTATTATGTGACAGAGAAATATTACAATCAAAATGTTCATTACAGCCTTGAAGACGTGCATCATAGTTTCTCTTTATGGTTAATTAGTCGTAATCTAGTAGAAAATTATTCCTTTTGATTTTATTCCGAAGGCAAGAGCAACTGCCTTTGTGCATGTTACAAAATAAGGAATGGCTGATATGATAGTTAAATCCTTTCATATCCCCAAATCTCCATTGTTGTTTGTACTTTGTACATTTATTGGTTATTGTGTTACAATAACATATCACATATTACTGCATCTGAAGGCAAATTTATGTATGCTTTTTGGTTAATCACTAGTACAAAAGATAATTCTTCCTTTTCAATTTATTCCGAAGGCATTTTACTGCATCACTTCCATTCAACAAGTTCAGAATTCTCTTGGAATATGGAGGTTCATACAGCTCATCTAGAATATCCACAATTTGCCCGAAGGTAGTTGGTTTGCCTTTTGTCCACTTCCTGAAGGTGGAACTAGATGAATGCATTGCTTCCAAAGCGCTTTGTGAAGGTGTTTATGTACCAGAAAGTTCTCAGTTTATAATGGTAACATTGTTTCCTTATGAATGGGTATCAACTATGAGATAATTAACTATTTCCTGAATATTCATACATGCTATGGATTGATTGAGTTACAAGGATGGTCAGTAGTTTATATTTTGTTTCTCTTTTCATTTATCAATTTCTTAATTATTTTTTTAAGTTAGTTTATTTATGCAACGTTTTGCAAAAGAATGGATTTTTATATTTAAGTTTTCATACTTTATTCCATTAGGCATTAAGAGATAGCAAATTCAGAATGTCTATTGTCTTTTAAGTGGTTATAAAAGATGGACTTGTCAACCTGATTTCTACTTATTTTCTGTATATGAAAACAGATGATTTGAGTTTGATGGGCACAAACACAGTGATTCTGGAAATTATCTTTCTTTGTAACTCAGTTAAAATTGGTATTCAGGGTTTAGAAAATAGGAAAAGGTCAGATTAATAAGTTAGACTTTGGGTTAAACTGAGGCAGCTCAAGAATTAAGGTTTGTCAAGCACAAGCAATTAAAACATGTGTCCAGATCTTCATCACATATCTATACATTACTCAGTTTTCTGGATATTTAACCCTTAAATTATGGGTCCGTTTGGCAAGTCTTTTTGAGAAGATCTTCTCGTAGCTCTGACAGTCAATAGATGCATTGAGCTTTTGACATAAGATCTGGGCAGCCTGAAGACCGTTTGGCAGACGTGCATCTTTCCGTGCGTCGTTTTGGGTCTTTCCGCATGAGATTAAGACGCGGAAGACGCGGGAAGCTTCATTTGGAGCTTCCCGAAATCAGCCCAAAATGGGCTTCCCGCATCTTTTGGGTACCCTGTCTTTTGGCAGCGGAATCTTCCGCGTGCCAAATGGGAATAGACCGATTTTCGGTCTTCCTGGCTTGTAAGTATCCGAAAGACCATGCGGAAAGACACGCCAAATGGGGCCTATGTCCAGATGTTTTGCATGCAGCTACTCATACGAACTTTCGTTTTGGACACAAGATTGTGCAAGTGTGTATTACAGCTATTTGGATGAAGCTTTAAATAATAAAATTAAGGCAATGTTCTGTTCTTGAAACAGAACTAAGAGGCCAGACATAAAGTAAGATACTTGAGACTATCTCTATTAGCTAACCTGTCCATTTGAGTGTGACCTGTTTTACCTCCAGTATCAAATTTTACTTCCCAGCAATGCTTTTAAAATCAAGCTGGAAATGGAACCACTTTTTCACCTGCATGGTGAGTAAGCAGTTCAACCATTTGGGTCAAATAAGTCAGCCTGTGACATAAAAAAAAATAAATAACAAAGATATAAAAAATAAACTAAAATGTAAAGGAAATTACAGAAATATTGAGCATTCTCTAATATTTTATATTTGTTATATTAAATAAAAATAAGTGTGTTAAATGAGAATTATTGTTATTAATGATGGAAATGGCCAAAAATATAAAAGGAAAAAAAATAATATATGTCTGACATGTGACCCAGTGAACAGGTCAAATGTTTAAGTGGTTCAACTGGATTGGTCAACAGATTGTTGACTAAGTCAACAGTTTTTGAAGGTAGATGATTCCAGGTGTGATTGGGTTGAAAACATTACTTCCTAGGGATTGTTTCATTTATGCAATGTATCTAAATGACTTTGTTGTCAAACCATTTATTGTCTATAAATCTGTTTGAAATCATAGTTTGCATTTCACATTACTCTTATTTTTACAGAACAATTTTCCATAATGTTAAGTGTGCTTTCATGGTTCAGTGTTTCTGTGCAGCACAACCTTACCCTCCATCCTTCTTTACTCCCTTAGTACATGTTATTACTTGGCAAAGAATCATAAGAAATTGTGATAACTAAAAATATAGTTAGTAGCGTAGCATACTGAAGAAGGAAACAGGTAATGTGTCAGTTATAGATATGTTATGTTAGAAGATAGAAGAGGGAACACAGTGTAAGATGGTAGCAAACCTTCCTATGAACACTAGGCAGTTGGTGAAATTAAGGAATTGTTGTAAAAGGAAATGGTGAAGAGAACTGGGAAAAGTGATAGGTTAAGAGCCAGGGTTTGGGGCTGGAAGATGTGGATAAGTCCAAGAAATGGTTTAGGATTGGTATGGGAGGTTAAGAAAGGGTGGAGAACTTTCTTGGAAATCAAAGACAGGTTGAATCAATAAAATTGTTGTCTTCTAATGGATTTGAGTTACAACTATAATCAGTATTTAGATCAAAGTTACAGATAAGAAGAAAAACTAAAGAATACGAAGAAAAAATTAGTAAAAGAGTAGTAGAAGAGGATTAGGGTCTAGGAGAAGAAAACCTTCAGAAGATCTAGAGTAAAAATCTATTTTATTAGTCCATTCTGCATTGAAAAGAAAAGATAACAAATGCATATAAGTAACTAGGATGATGGCTTTGGAGTTGACCATAATTATAATATGGTCACTGCAAACTAAAGTAAGAGAAAAGAAACACTATAACTTATAATCTACTGATCCAATGGTTCTGAAACTTCACAGAAACCCTAACAATGATCTAATTAACAACTTAAATTGATGAAGTTCACATAAAAATGTAATATCACCAAATCTGTGACAAGATTAGAGAAAAATTCAAGAAAAAACAATAAATTCCTAGGCTCAACTCTAAGACTACTTTGATGTCCATATTAGAATGGTGTACTGCAGGAAATGAAGTTAAGAATGAATGGCTCAAGTTTGATGGATAAAGGGGTATTATATAAGAAGGGACATGGTCCCTCCTCTCTCATTGGAGGTAGGGTCATTTTACTTTTTCAAACAAGGACAAGAAAATAACAAATTAAACAATATCTAAACATAACATTTAGATTTTCTCTTTCTGTTGCTTATAAGAAATTTTGTTCTTCTGTTATATACAGTTTTGTAGGAAGATGAATTTCAGATGCAAAAGTTAAAGTAGACAAATTCATATAGGAGCTTAAAATCCTAATGAAAATTTCCTGTTTTTAAATTCTGAATTCATGTCATTGATTTCTACACTATATATACTAGTTCCTGTTCTTTGATGGTTCCCATGGCTTTGTCATTTCTCTGGTTTCCTTGGTACATCTAAATATTTTTTATATGATTTTTTCACTTCCTTTCTCAGGCTATGCATTGTCTATATTTATTATTGTTGATGTTATAACATATAGTTTGACATTATACTAATGCACTCACACTAGCTATGCTCTAGGGGGAAACCACTCAATCAATTCCTACCCTGTATGAGGGTATCTATGGCCAGAAGTTTGAGGAACTGCTAAACGTTTTACCTATTGAGGAGAGTTTTCAAATGGAAATTTTGGGAGCTACAGATCATGTAGAGACTTGCAGTGTGCCTATGACAGGTCCTAGTGTGTCCTCTGACATGGAAAGCAAGCAGATACAATCAACTATGCCTTCATATCCTGATATAGTCCTTGTTGTGAACACCCAAAATTTTGATAAGGAAATGCTAATATCCCGGAGAAGCTCATACCAAAGGATTCTTGCACTGGAGAAACAAGGAGTTCAAGTTGTGGAGCGTGAAATGAATCTTCCTGTGGATCTTGTCATTAGTGCTGCAATGTGCCTAGTATGGTATGATTATAGAAACATTGGACAAAAAACAACATCTACAGAAGAAGCTTCTTCAAGCATACCATTGTGCATTGAAAATATTGCGACGAACATTCTGACATCACTCAGTTTTGCTTTCAGCAATTGTATCCTGGTAATTGCCTTTTTTATGATGCTTGGCTCTTATTTAGACATTAAAGTAGGCTATTTCACTGGAAAAGACAAAACTAACCAGGTGCAAATGATGACAATTTCTTTCTCTAAGGTATATAGACAGATGGTATGTCATTAATAGAATGAACTGAAAACTTAGACTTGAACCTACAACCTAATGATTAAAATTATATTATTCATGTCAACTTTACTAGGTAGATACATGGTAACTTCATATACATATGTTTGGATGTTGTCAGATTGAATCTAAATCAGATCGGATCAGATTCAGTCCAGTTTGGTTGTAATGCATATCTAAAACTAGAGATCCATAACCTACTTAATTGAGTCCATCAAAGAAGAAAAGAAAAAGAAAAGCCTACTTAGTTGGATTGTATCCAACAGCCGAAGGTAAGGTCACAAAGAGATGGTGAAATTTTGCATGAAAAAAGATCACTCAAACAGCAAAAAGATGTTAAGATTTCCTGTCACAAATTTCCAATCACTTTAGGCTATCTTTGTTGGTCTTAGTTTGATCTTAACTGAGTGCACATCTACTTAAATGAAGGTTCCTGGTTGTTACATGCCTCTATTTGTGCAGGTCCTGCATGATGTAAGTCAATTTCCTTCAGTCAAAATGAACCAAACATGGTTAATTTAAGAACCATTTCTTTAGTCATAGAAACATTTATATTTTGCTTAATGCTTTAAAATCCACAATAAGCCTACAATGAAAATTATTTTATATTGCTTATAAATGATACTGGATGACAACCTTGGCTCTTTACCTTCCACTCTTTTTCTTCACAGGTATTTGAGGGGGAGAGAAATTTCCTTGCTTCCACAATGGAGTCATCAGATGCAATCTATGCTGCTGCAGCTAGTCTGGGAGTAGATTTACAACTCTTTTACTCGTATTCATGTGAATTAACAGATGAGATTATCCTTGGTTGTATCAGATATGCTATTAAGTTGAATAGAGGCCTATATCCAAAAATGCTTGAATCAGAAACCCTTGCAGAATCATTTCTTACCAGCTTTCCTTCAATTAATCCACTCTTGGCTCATGCAATACTGTGTTCTGGAGGCCTTCTTGTTGAATTTCTTAATTGGTCACATGATCGCAGAATCAGGGAAATTGGGAAGTATCATGTTCCTGATGAAAGTCTTGCTCTATTTGGTGCTCTATGTAGATTTGGGGAGCTTGAAGAATGTAAGTCTGGAATGACAGAATGTTCATCAGTATCTTCTGCTCCAGATTCAGGGGATAATCACAGCAGAAGTGCCTCAGATAGAAAAAAGAGAAAATATTTAAGCGCCAGCACACTTGAAATACCCATGGATGACTTGCAGTTGGATAGATTAAATCAATCTACAGGTGACAACTTGAAGTCTTCTAGAATGTTTCAGCCATTTCAATCATGGAATTTTGGCAAAGGTCCTCAAACATTAGACAAGATTGAGGGTTCCAGTTATTCTCTGAATGATCAATTGTTTGGTCCAAAATGGGGCTTGAATATTTTTCGAATGGATAATGTAGACTATAATGGCAACAGCCCTGAAAATATGCAGGAGGATTTCAGAGGTGAAGTTGTTGAGCCCATTAATAGTTCACTTATGTGTGAGGACTTTCCCTCCATTGCTAACCCTTTCAGGATGCCAAATATAGAAAGAGATCATATAACAGGAAATTTTATAACCACTAGATCATCATTTGGTCCAAGCAACCATCCTTCCTTCCCAATGTCTGAAGAGATCAGCTCTAGCACAGATATCTGGAATCTTTTAAAGGATCACAAACCAAGGTTGGAGGAAAACATTTGTGGATATCCAACTATAGATGCCAACAAGGGCGCATCTGCATTGAGACAACAAGAAATGTTAGACAAAAGAACTATCCAGGGCTCTAACAGAAATGTCAAAGAACAATTATCTCAAGATAGTGGAACAGTACTGTCAAATTCAATTCGTTCATCACAAATTCAACAAGCATCACCTTGGACAATCAAGTTTCTTAATCGAATCAAAGAAAAGAGCAGGGCACATAGGTTATCCCTTCCATGTGAAACTGCCATAACTAGTTTTGGATATTCTGGGAATGCGGAGAAAATTACAAAGAGAAAAAGTCCATCAACTTTTGATCATTATAGGTATCAAGGAGGAAGCAATCCAAAGAAAACAATCAAACAAAAGAGGCAGAAGTCATCGACACAACCAACTTCATCCAAGAATGAGAAGATTGCAGATTCCATTCTTCCAACATGGACTCCTATTGATAAGAGAGCGAGACAGGTATATCTGCAATACCTGTTTTAGATTTGCAAATAATTTTCTTGAGATTGTATGAAATTTATTACACTTGACCAACTGCAGACTCTATCTTTTGTGAGGAATGCAAGCGGAACACAAAGTAAGCTAGTTTGGAGTAATAGAAATCTAAGATAAAGATTGCAAAACAAAGCATGAAATGGCTGGATCATGTGCCAGGTACAGTTCCTGCACCTTCTGATCGCTATGGTTTCTTCATTTCTAGTTAACAGTACAATACATTGGATTAACTTAGAGCAGGTTTTGGTGTATAGTTGAACCAAGATTGGTTCCCTATGACTTGATGTTAACTTCATTGAGTAGTTTTAATGCACAAATACGCTGCAAACACTTTGGCCCTCTGGTTGACTAACACATGTTTAACTTGCCAAAATATTATTTAGTCCTATGCAAGTCGGTATGGGCCTGAATGAATAGTACAAAGACAAAGCTTACCATGAAGTAAATTCCTTCAGGATACCCTGGAACTGGGACAAGGTAGATAGAATGCCATCATTAGATGTAATTGCACCCAAGAGAGGACAGATATGAGGAGGATAAGTCTACCTCTAGTAATTTAACTTGGTTGAAATTCTGCTAAGAAACTCTTTAAACATGTACTGGCGGGCCTTCCCCTTAGAGGTACTTACAAAAATACCGGCGGTTAATTTAATCGACCGGTATATATATATATATGTATATTTTATATATTTTTAATATGTGTTACATATTTTTTATGTATTATATATAAATATATATTTGTTATATATATAAATATATACTTATATTATATTTATAATGATCTATTTATAAATATATTATATATTTTTAAAATATTTATAATATATATCATTTATTATTTATAATATAATATTATACATATATTTAAATAATATATATTATAAATATAAAAAACCAAAGAACTGAATTGATCAAAAACCGAAATCGATGAACTAATTAACCGGTAGTATCGGTTTGGTTTTGGTTTGACAAAACGAAAAAACCGTGAACACCCCTAAGCCGATCATATGCTTTAAGCATGTCCAACTTATCAAGCACATTCTGCCCTCTTACTTTCCTATCAATTTCCTACATTAACTCCTGCACGAGGTCAATATTATCCAAAATATTTCTGACTTTAATGAAGGCCACCTGTTGAGGGGATATCAGGTTGTGCAAGAGTCCAACCAGTGTATCAACCAGAATTTTTGAGATAATTTTGTAAGAGAAATTACAAACATTGATGGGTTGATAATTTGAAATAAGTGAGAGGGTTCTGACGTCCTTTAGGAATAAGAGAGATACAAGCCGAAGAATAGCTGAGTGGAAGCTCACTTCCCGAGAAAAACTCTTGTACTGCTGAGATGGCATCCTCCTTTACAATATCCCAATAGTGTGTATAGAAATATGCGATGAAGCCATTTAGACCTGGTGCACTTTCCTTGGAAAGAGAGAAAACAACAATTTTAATTTCATCCTCAGACAAAGGGTAGTTAAGTTAAATAATCATTATCAGAGGGAGAGATAACTACTGGAATAACCCTCAGCAAGTCAGAATTTACACTATACTACTCGGTTATAAGAATAGAGCCGAAGTAGCGAATGCCCTCCTAAATGATTTGGGAATTATCTGTGTTCACCATACCATCCTTCAAAGAGATTTTAGATAGAGTAGAGAAGTTTATTTTTTTGGCCTTTACCGTGGTATGAAAAAAATTTTGTGTTTCTATCTTCTTCCGCTATCCATTGTACCTGAGATTTTTGCCTCCAGAAGATTTTCTCTTGCAAAAGCCAATGGTGTAGATTATGTTTGGCATTTTGAAGAGCTATACCATTGTCAAAGGAGTTTTTCTGGGTATGTGCAAGTTCTCTCCTAAGGACCTCGTCTTCTACTTTTTTGATGTTCTAAAATAAGTCTTTTCCAAACACTTCTTTATTCTTCCAAGTTTTGAGGCAACCCTGTAGGCATTTAAGTTTGAGAACCAAGCGTTGAAATGGGGATTTAGAGGCTAAATAGTTGGAAATTGGAATAAAGCTTTCATGACTAAGCCGCATTTGTTGGAAACGGAACATAGTTGGGTGGTCCAACCTATCATCATGAAGCTTAAAGAGACTCGGACCATGGTCCGAGTACATACTATTCAAGTGAACAACTGGAGTTGAATTAAAGGAAGAAAGCCAATAACTGTTGACTAACCTCTGTCAAGTTTGGCCCAAACATAGGCATTACCTCACGACCATTACACCAGGTATACAGATTACCAGAAAAAAACCCAAGTCGTGAAGAAGATCTTGGAAGTCTCTCATGGACTATATATTTGGCCGAATCCCCCCAAGCTTTTCATCCGTGCTAGTAACAACATTAAAATCCCCCAAAAGTAGACAAGGTTGTTGACACAAATTTCATATATTTCAATTAGCACAAAATATGGAGATAAATCACAAAAATAAATTTATAATAAAGAAAAATAAATAAGGGAATGATCTCTCTTTGATTTCTACTTGCTGACGTGAGCAACCTTTGATTAATGGTCGAATTCAATGAAGGCGAGGGCCATTGGCGTGTTTTTCGTACTTCTTGAAGTGTTGATGTAGGTTTCCTTGATTTTAGTGTTTGGGAGATTTGATGTAGATTTCTTCACTCCGAACTTCGCGCTTGATCAGCTATAGAGGATGCTTCTCTAAGAAGGGCCCTTTTGTGGTGGCTTGATCTTCTTTGGAGAGCATGAATCCAAGTGAATAATAGAGAATGAAAAAGTTTTTCCCTTATTTCTTCTCTTTTGATCTTGTAGTTGGAGGTTGCAGGAGCTTTTGGTTGCTTGCAATCTTCAGTATTGGTGTTTGAGAGGTTCTTGCAATGTGATTGTTGAAAAAGAAGGATCCTTTCTCTTCCTAGGCAAGACTATTTATAGCAAAGGATTAGGACCGCCACCTCAGCCCATTTTACTAACCAATCCCATGTAAGTGGGGTGTTGGGTTAGGGTTAACTCCCATACATGAACCATGATGTAGGAGTTAGTGGTCTTGCCAATGGGACCACCCCATTACAATAAGAGATGAGCTAGATTGGACTTAATACACTTGGGTCCTTAAGCCACCAAGACATATTTATGTAGACTTGGGCCTTGGACCTGTGGGGCCAATATTAATTCCGAGGCTGTCATGTAAATTAAGTTCATTTATTTGGATTAAAAATTCACATGTCTACAAATGCCCCCTTGATGATGAGGTAACGGAGCTCCGTATGGTGCCGATGTCCTTGACGATGTTGACTTTCATGTTGGATGGTAGCTTGACTTGGCTATTGGAGAAGTTCTCTATATAGCTTGTGAACCTTGAGGAGATGATGCGTCTTGGCCTTGAAATATGCTGAAAATCCTAATTTGTGATGTGTGTAGGCTTTTTTAGTAGAGAGCTCCACATGTGAGGACATTGAGATGCTTTCATCTTCTTGTAGCTTTTCTAGTTTGATGATGATGGACAGTTTGATGAACCTTACTACTGCAATCGGTTAAGCATTTTACCTGTACCCACATGGATGTGGTGATATTTGAGTCCTTATTGGTGTCTATGTCCCTCGACAAAGAGACTTTGAAGAAACCTAGACCCTTAATGGGATACGTACATTTGGATCAAAGCTGTAGTACGTTCCTTTATTTCACCACCATTTACGACCTGGATTACTAGAGCTAATTTGTGTGGAGATGATTGCCATTAATGGGCTCAAGACGTAGACCCTTTGGTGTAACAAGGAGATAAGCACCATTGGTGTAAACTTCTTCCACCACGTGAGGCCCATCCCATTTAGGGTCAAATTTCCTCCCTGAATGGTGTGAGAGAATGATAGGTTCTTAAACAACAAGGACAATATCTCATTTCTGAAAGGAGCGAAGACGAACCTTCTTATTGAATGCATGAGCCAAACGAGCTTGGTAGCACTCTATTCTTTGTTGAGCTTCTAACCTCTTCTCGTTTAGTGCTTCAAGCTCAGCTAGTCGTAACTTTGCATTCTCATATTCTGTAATTCCCTCTTGGATAGCTATCCTTAGGGAGTTCATTTGTCTCTCTAGGGGAAGTACAACTTCTACACCATATACTAAAGCAAAATGAGTTGCATTTGTAGCGGTGTGGTAAGATGTTTGATATGCCCATAAGGCCACATCCAGGCGTTCATGCCAATCTCTCTTAAACTTAGACACAATCTTCTCAATTAATTCACAGAGTTTTGTTAAAGGCCTCTGCAAGTCCATTGGCCGTTGCATTGTACATGGTTGAAAACCTTACTTAATGCCAAACTTGTCACAAAACTGTGTCACCAATGCTATTGAGAATGACTTTCCGTCATCTGTGATTATGTAACGTGGAATACCACAGCGGTAGACAATGTGAGTCCAGAGGAAGTTGACAACATCTTCTTTCTTTTCTTCTCGAAGAAGAACCGCTTCAGCCCATTTGGAAAAGTACTCCATTATTGCTAGGATGAAGAGGTGTTGGCAAGAAGACTTAGGCAAAGGACCAACCACATCAAGTCCCCATGCATCAAATGGCCACGATGCAATTATAGGATGTAGAGGTTCTGGTGGCTAGCGAATAAAATCCCCATAGAATTGACATGCCCGACATCTTTTGGCATATCCAATTGAGTCTTATACCACTATTGGCCAATAGAAGCCCATTTGCTTAAGGCAATCATGGAACTTAGGTCCTAATTGATGAGCATCACAAACTCTGGAGTGTGTTTGGTCGACTGCGCTTTGGATTTCGTCTCCACGGATACACCTTATGTAGACATCATTGAAGGAGCGTCTGTAGAGGTTGTCATTGTAATATAGGAAATGAAGCGCTTAATGTCATATCTCAGCTCTATGCTTGGGATTTTCGGGCAACTTCTCGTACTGCAAGTAGTCAATGAAGGGTCGTCTCCAGTCCTCAACCTCCATAGTAAATACAGAAACCACATTACTTTCCTATTATGTCTCTTCTTGAGGTGACTTAGGGGGTAGAACCCATTTTACACAAATGGGTATTGTTATTGCTTCATCACCCGTGAGTGCTAAGCTTGCCGCTAGATTAGCAAGGGCATCTGCTTGTTTGTTTTCACTTTTTGGTACGTGCTCAATGGTAGCATGACTGAACTCCTTTAGTAATTGGATTTCATAATGGTGGTAGGGAACTAGGTG